GTGAGTTCAAGACTAACCTGAACTACAATTACAAAACCCTGTCTCAAAAAAAAAAAAATTTTTTTTAAAGGGCTAGGGGTGTAGCACAGCGCAAAGGCCCTGGGTTCAATCCCTACCTCCACATACATACATATATACATACATAAACAAATCTTAACATTCTTTTTCACCCTAAATTAATTTATGAATTCTAAATTTCACCTATCTTAAATACTTTAGTTTGCAAGGGCCAGGGAGTTAGCTCAGGGTCCTAAATTCAATCCCTAGTACCAAAAATAATAAATATCTTAGTTTGCAAGACTTTCAACATATTGCATATTACCTCAAGCTCATAATGTTTTAAACTTGTATTTAAAAGGCCTAATGCTAATTACCTGCCAAGTTTCATACTTAGAAAATAAAATATTTAACCAGCTGTAGTCCCAGCACTCAGGAGGCTGAGGCAGAAGGATCACCACTACTTCAAGGTCAGCCTGAACTACATAGGGAGACCCATCTCAAAAAAAAAAGAAAAAAATTATTTAGCAATATATTTAAAAACTCACTATTAAAAGAAGGAAAGCCAGGCATGGTGGCGCATGCCTGTAATCCCAGCACTTGGGAGGCTGAGGCAGAAGAAGGATCCCTGTGATTTCGAGACCAGCCTGGCCTACATAGTGAGCTCCAGGCCAGTCTCAACTGCATAGTGAGACCCTGTCTCAAAAAACAAAAAACAAAAACAAAAACAAAAACAGAAGGAAAAAGCTGGGTACAGTGGTGTATACCCATTATCCCAGCAGTGGGGAGGCTGAAGCCCAAACATCTCAAGTTCAACAGGCCTTGCAAGCTCAAGGACCCAGTTCAATCCCTGGTACAAAAAAAAAGAAGAAAAGTCAAGACAGCAAATCCCTGCCTCAAAATAAAAAAATAAAAATTAGGTAAAAAAAAGGCAAGGCCGGGCATGGTGGCGCACACCTGTAATCCCAGCACTCGGGAAGCTGAGGCAAGAGGATAGCTGTGAGTTCGAGACCAACCTGGGCTACACAAGGCAGTGAGATCTTGTCTCAAAAAAATAAAAAAAAATAAAAAATTTTTTTTCAAGAAGCCAGGTATGGTGGTGGTGCATGCCTATTATCCCAGCACTTGAGAGGCTGAGACAGGAGGACCACCAGGAGTTCAATGCCAATCTGTGCTAAATATAGTTTAATACCAGCCTGATCTACACAGTGAGACCCTGTCTCAAAAGGGGGGAGGACACCTGAGAACTTAGCTCAGGGCAAGGACCCTGGGTTCAATCCCTAGTACCACCAAAAAAAGGGGGGGGGTGAAAGTGACTAATTATAAATTAATTATGAGAGACACAGATATGAGGCACCTGGCACAAATTTCCTTCCTTCCACTACTGCTGGTTGTCATCACAGCCTGTGATATTCTTTCCTTCACCAGTTCACTAGCAAAAGTATCCCACCTATTTAATATTAACTTTGTTCATCATGCCAACAGGCCTGTTTTATTTAGACAGGGTCTCACTGTGTAATCCAACCCGGCCTCAAACTCTGGTGATCCTCCTCCTCAGCCTCCCAAGTGCTGGGATTACAAGTGTGCATCACCATGCCCAGCCCACCAGGCCATTTTTTTAAAAGAAAAATTATTGAGGAAAAGGTCCCACCAAAATGAATAATGACCCAGTAGTGTGACAAGAGAAGAACATTTCATCTCTAGAGATTACATTCCCCACATTACCACCTAGGATACTTATAAAAACACAAAGGAAGAAAAACACAACAGGAAAAAAAATGGACGTTATAAACACTATCGTTCTTATAGGATATTAAAAAAGATTCCTATAATAAGAGGACACATTTGAATTTATCTCCTTAAAAGTTTATAATCTCTTACTTTCAAGCAAATTTATGGCAAAATAATTATTTGGCCCTTGACTATGCTACTTTGCTGCAAGAGTTTTATTCTGTCTGGTTTGTCTCACTAAGGAGATTGAGGCAGGAGGATCACTGCAAGTTTGAGGGCAGCCTGAGCTACATATTGAGTTCAAGACCAACCTGAACTACACCGTGAAACCCTGTCTCAAAAAAACAGAAACCAGTTCGATCCCCGTACCCAAAAAAATACAGAAACCAACAAGTTCCACTCCCACTCAGGTCTGTAATCCCACCACTCTGGGGGTGCTGAGGCAAGATCATCACAAATTCATACCCAGCCTAGGTCATTAGCAATTTAAGGATACCCTGTCTCAAATAAAGGCCAGGTGTGGCAACACACACCTGTAATCCCAGCACTTGGGAGTCTGAGAGCCTAAAACAAGAGGGTCACCACAAGTTTTAGGCCAGCCTAAAATACACAAAAGATCTTGTCTCAAACCCCCTCCCCAAAATCAATGTTGAAGCACATCCCAGCATTCTGGGAGGCTGAGGCATAAGGATCTCAAGTTTGAGCTATGCCTGGCCAGTTTAGCAAGACCCTGTCTCAAAATAAAAATGTAAACAGGATAAGGGATATAGCTCAGTGTGAAGGCCCTTGGTTCAATCCCCAATACGACCACAAAAAAAAAATATGAATTTCAATGTTTTAGATGAAAAAGGCAAAATAGGCTTTCCATTTTTGTCCCTCATAGGTGCCACCCAAATCAAGACTCCTACTACCTTTTTGTTTTCCTACAAGGAACAGCTGCCTAGAATATACTGCCTTGGTACGTATTCTACCTTCACCTTAAATTCAACATGTGTGCTACCAAATTCAGACCCTCTCTACTTCTTTGCCTCTATTACTTCATTTTCTCAACAACTAAGATTTCAAATTAAATCAAAAATTTCTGCACAGGGCTGGAGATTTAGCTCAGTGGTTCCACCACCTGCCTCGAAAGTGGCAAGGTCCCAAGTTTGATCCTCGGTACCAAAAGAAAAAAGAAAAAAAAAAATTCTGCAGATCTCAGTACATATGGGGGAGTTGGGGTTGGGGATTAAACCCAGGGCCCTCAAGAGCCACATCACCAGTCCTTTTTAATTTGAGGCAGCATCTCACTAAGTCACAAAACTGTCTACGCTGCACTTACATTTGCAATCCTTCCTGCCTCAGCCTCCCAGAATCTGGGGATCACAGGCATGCACCTGTGGGGATCTGCACACAGATCTCTCATTCCTTCTTTTACATTTATCGTATCAGGTCTATAGCAAAGGTTAACCAATTAGTCTCAGTCCTTGTCCACTCCAATCTCCTTTCACCAATGTAATCTCCCCAAAACACCACTGGAGAAAAGCAATTCCAGCCAGGCATGGTGGCCTGTCATCCCAGCACTCGGGAGGCTGAGGCAAGAGGATCGCTGTGAGTTTGAGACCAGCCTGGGCTACATAGTGAGTTCCTGGTCAGTCTCAACTCCATAGTGAGACCCTGTCTCAAAAAAACCAAAAAGAAAAAAGAAAAGCAACTCCAGTTTGGCACAATGGTGCATGCCTATAAGCCTAACACTCAAGAGACTGAGACAGGAAGATCCCAGCAAGTTCAAGGCCAGCCTGGGCAACATAATGAGTTCAAGGTCAGTCTGAAGAGTATAATGAAACCCATCTCAAAAAAAAAAAGGCAAACTGGCCAGGATTTAGCTCAGTGGCATTGCACCTGCCTTGCAAGCCCACGGTCCTGAGTTCAATCCCCATACCAAAAAAAATTTTTAAAAAGGAAAAAAAGCAAAGCAACTCCAAACACTGAAATACTTTGCTACCTTACTGAACTAAATCTTAATCTGATATTCAAGGCCTTTATCTTTATGACTATGTCCTTTTTCCCTATCTTTATTTAGAGGGCAAAGGGCTAAGGACTCATGCATTCAATAACTTTCCTCGAAAGCTCTATTACAGGGCTAGAGACGTAAATCAGTTCTAAGAACTTGTTTGATTTGGTTAATTTTAACACTGTTAATCTTACTAGTTCAAAATCAAAGGTGGATTGAGAATATATTTTACTGACTACAGGTTTAGTCTGATCTGTCTCTCCTGATTTTTTATGGAACAGATTTTTTATGAAACTGGGAATTTAATGTCATCTCTTTTTTTTTCTTTTTTTTTTTTTTTGGTTTTTTGAGACAGGGTCTCACTATGTAGTTGAGACTGACCTGGAACTCACTATGTAGCCCAGGCTGGTCTTGAACTCACAGCAGATCCTCCTGCCTCAGCCTCCAGAGTGCTGGAATTACAGGCGTGAGCCACCACGCCCGGCTGGAACTGGGAATTTAGTCCAGGCCTTCTCATATGCTACTGGTGGCAAGCACTTTATCACTGAGCTACATTCCTGAATCTTGCTGTTCTCTTTGAGATAGAGTCTCACTAAATTGCTCAGGGGAGCCTTGAACTTTTAATCCTTCTGCCTCAGCCTCCCAAGCAGCTATCATTACAGTCATCTGCTATTATGGATAAAGATGATTAAAACCTAAAATCCACAATCAATATTTCCTGACACAGGGCCAAGGATGTAGCTCAGAGGCACAACGCCTGCCTGACAAGCAAGCGGTCCTGAGTTCCTGAGTGAGAGGTACCAAAAAAATTTCCTGGCACAAAACAGGAATCGATTCTATTTCAAACAAATGTCACTTAGCAGATGTAACTTAAGTAGCTAGTTGATTTATCAACTTCCCATCCTTTAACTGTAATAGCTTAAAAATAAACATGCCCAACAGAAAAAACTTTAAAATATGTAGTTGTCCTACAAGCCACCCAGCAATCTTAAAAACATGTATCAACAGAGAAAGTGTTCTTTGTTAAAAGTAGTATTCCTAGAAATGCACTGTGCACATTAAAACAATCTTAAATCTTTTTTTAAATGAATTATTTACTATTCAGCACTAGAATGGTACATAACCAAGTGACAAAATTAGTGATCATCCTTTAAAGCAGGTGACTCTTGTTTAAACTAAATCAGCAGTTTAAGCTTTTAAAGACATTCACTGAAAGCAGATATCCTAAGTGGACAAGGATTATAAAAGTTTTAAAGCTGAAATAGTGAACTTTTTTTACCTGATGTTCTGCATGAATGTTATCCCCAGTAGGCCATCGATGTTTGCTATTATTATAGCCGCCTCCACCACTTCCTCCTCCCCCAAGCTGCTCACCATGCTGCCTCTGAAAGAAGTAGTCCACCATAGCGTCGTCTTGTGAGCGGCCTGTAACTCCTATGGATCCTGGGACAGGGCTGGAGTGTGTCCCAGCTGCAAGAGCCTGATTTGCAGCTGGTTGTGGCTGCGCTTGCGACCCTGTTCCAGATGTCAAAACAACAGGCATGTTGGGATTAGCTGGTTCTTGAGGGTGATGTTTCAGGTGGGGGCTGAAAGAGTCCTGCCAAAGCACTGCTTTTCTCTTCAAGACACATGCAACGCTCATTCCACCAACACCTATGAACAAACAAGTTCAAAATATTCAATATTTGCATTTTTAAAACTTGACCTACTCCAATAAAAGTTAAGAACTACGTATCTTTTGCAATACAACCAGCAATGCATTTGTAACACAGACACAATTTCTGCAGCTGAAATCTTTTTTTTTTTTTTTTGGTACCAGGGAACTAACTCAGGTCATTGTACCCCGAAATCTCTATTTTTAAGTTGCTGAGTCTGGGTATATGTAACAGAAATAAAGGTAGTATCTGGTGATATTCTTGACAAGACGAAATCAGGACTTAATCAGCAACTTCAGGGGAAGTTTTACCAAAATGTAACAATTCAGAAGCTAGCGATACAGCTCAGCAGAGTCCTTGCCTAACATGTGTAAGACACGTTCAATTCCCATTAACACACACACAAAATTAACAGAATTTTAGACTTCAATCAATGGTTTCTTTACCCAACCTACCAGTTCCCTTAAATCAATTGTGGCACATAGCTTTTAAAAGAGTAGTACCTTTCTTTTTTTTTTTTTTTTTTTTTTTTTTTTTTTTTTTTTTTTGTGGCTGGTGGTACTAGAAGGCAAACTCAGTAGTGTTCTTCCATTGAGTTACATTCTAACCCTTTTTATTTCAAGGCAGGGACTCTAAAATACCCAGACTGGACTCAAACTGGATCCTCCTCCCTCAGCTTCCTGAGTATCTGGGCTTACTGGTATGCATCATGGCACCCAGCAACAAAAGCTTTTTAAAACATCACAATATTTTAAATTTTCTAAAAATTGGGCCAGGGATTTAGCTCAGTGGTTCTGGCGCCTGCCTCACAAGCACAAGGGCCTGAGTTCGATCCCTGGTAGCAAAAAAAAAAAAAATTTTTTTTTCTAAAAATTGAAAAACATTTAAAAAAATACATAACACATCACAACTCTATAGCTGGAGTAGACATATGCCAATATCAACAACAACAACAAAAAACTGAACACTCCAAATATAATTATCAACAGCTCAGACTGTCTAACTTAAAAGAACCCTTTAGTAATTTTTTTTGTGGGGGGGTACTGGGGATCAAACTCAGGTCCTTATCCTTGTGAGGCAAGCACCAGAACCACTAAGCTAAGTCCCCCGCCCTAAAAGAACACTTTAAAATGTCCCATACAGGCATGCAGAGTGGCACACATGCCAGTAATCCCAGCACTGAGGATGAGGCAGGAGGGTGAGTTGCAGGCCCAATTAAGCTACATGAGTTCACTGCCAGTCTGAACTACACAGCAGGATCCTGTCTCAAAACAAATAAAAACATGTACAATGTATTCATAGAATAGTTCTTAGAGAATCAGACATTCTAACCAAGAACAGAAAAAGAATGTTCTTAACCTAAACACTCTCCTCAGCTGCTATGGATGGAGAAGGGGGGAATTCAAGACTTCTACTAATAATTTACAATTCATTAATGCTTCAACTCCTAGAAACAGGATGAGACAAACCAAACTTACTTTACTAGTGTAAAAAGCACTGTAAAAACCAAAGGCTTCACCACACTAGAAGTGTAGCGAATGTACTGCAGACACTATCTCATCACAAAAACATTGAAAGGTAAGGATCACTGTCCCTATTTTACACAGGAAAGTCTTAAGGGACAGAAGCTATGTGTTGTGCCCAAAGCCATTCAGCTAGGGAGTAGCAGGAAAGGACCTCAATCTGTTTTGCCCTCAAACCTAGTTCTTCCCAAAGAAGGGAGGGGAAAAAGGAAGGGACAAGAAATAAAGTGAAAATAGAAGGAAAAAAATGAAAACAAAGCTTTTGTACATGGGGAGGGGAGGGGAGGGGGCTTGAGCGGGGGATGGAATAAGATTTTTAAAAACCTAGTTCTTCCCTACCACCCCCTTGCAACTGTATCCCTCCTTAGTATCCTCTACTCTTGAAGAAAAACAACAAAGAATCCTTGAAATGTTACTATGTATTGACCTTCCTTAAAATCAGAAAATTACATTTGTACATACAAAGTAAATAAATCAAAATTAAGACACATCCATCTCAACTGCTACAAAAAATTAGAATTGTGACACAGCCAGTCTCAAGGACTGATTTAAAGGTTATCAACCTGAGTCCACTGCTACCTATGCCTTATATATCAATGAGAAATTGATAATCTCTCTTACTGAATAATTAAGCTTTCTGACAAAGATGCATTCACCTCTCACAATTCATGTTTTGCATCCAGAAATAAGAAGATATAACATTGCCAGGTGTGGTGGCGCACGCCTGTAATCCCAGCACTTAGGAGGCTGAGGCAGAAGGATCGCTGTGAGTTCAAGACCAGCCTGGGCGACCTAGTGAGTTCTAGGTCAGTCTCAACTACATAGTGAGACCCTGTCTCAAAAAACCAAAACCAAAACAACAATTTTTAATTAATAAGTGAATAAATAAAATTAATTTCCATATAAAAAAACTTACCACAGAAGCACACCAAACACCACTGCCTTCCAAAAAGGGATGGGAAGGGGAGACCTTTAAAAATGTTGAAACCTAACAACTGGCTTTTGTAAAGCTATCTGTAGGCCCTGAAGATTTCCTGCTTTACCTAAGGAGGCAAGGCCATTTCCCAAACACAAGAAAACCTGGCAGAAGGGACATTTTGAAAGTGATCAAGCCAGGCGTGGTGGTGCACATCTGTAATCCCAGCAACTTGGGAGGCTGAGGCAGGAGGATCGCTGTGAGTTCAAGACCAGCCTGGGCTACACTGAGAGTTCCAGGGCAATCTGAACTACAATAGTGAGACCCTGTCTCAAAAAAAAAGACAGACAGACAGACAGACAGACAGACAGACAGACGGAAAGAAAGAAAGAAAGAAAGAAAGAAAGAAAGAAAGAAAGAAAGAAAGAAAGAAAGAAAGAAAGAAAGAAAGAAATAAATTAGCTATGTAACCCAGGCTGGTGCTGGCCTAAAAATCCTGGTGATCCTCCTGCCTCAGCCTCCCAAGTACTGGAATTATGGGAGGGGGGGTACGGGACAAACACCACGCCTGGCTAAAATTATTTTTATACAAAGGACAAATAAAAGAATTTTAGAAAGGCAAAGGGGCTTATATATACATGTACCAATTCCCTAAAATGAACATTATTCTGTATTAAGATGCACTGTTAAAATATTTTTAAACTTACAGCCACATGAAATTTTTTTAAAACACTGTAAGCAACTGGGATGCCAATCCTTGCTATTGTACCACAGCTCCCAAATTGTTTATATCAATGTGTGATTTGGTTTGGTTTTCCTTTTTTTTTTTTTAATTTATCATTAATAAGAGTTTACTTCAAAGAACATGATTTAAACTATCTCCTTTTACTAAATGCTTAGTGGTTTAAAAAATGTTTATTTTTATCACTGAACAAACACTCTGTGGCCATAAATTTATTTTAAAGCAGTTCATCTCAAACCCAAGCTAAACAAACTTCAACTTCAAAAAGCTACGGCCTTGAACAAAATGAATTCAAATACGGCTAAGGCAAAACACGAACTCAAAGTTCAGAATCCAGTGAGTATTTCCAGATAAAGAATCAACAGCACTCAGGATTTTACAAAGTTGAAATTTGCAGGGGATAAAATGTTTCATTTTGTTTACTAAAATCGTATAGGAAGCCACACATCTTGGGGAAGGCTTGTCTTGGTTTTTTAGTGTTTCACAAAAACAAACAAAAAGCTAAAACTACAAACCTATTGTCTCAGAAATAACCGACTTTAACAGAGCCTCGATAAAAGGTCTCATAAAATCTTACTCTTACTAATCCCAGTCATAATCGGAAGTGAGTAAAATGATCAAGAGCTACGAAAAGTGTTTTCTTAATTGAACAATGAAGGGGAACAATCCTTCAAAGTTATGGTGAGAATAGCCTCCTCTGGTAATTTGTACGTGGGTTCTTTGGTTTGGTTTCGGGTCCCGGGGTGGGGGTGGGGGGTGACTACCGTGAAGAAAAGTTACACGAGTGTATTCCTCACTGGATGTGGGAGTGATAGTGACAAGTAAAACAAATGACCTATGTTTACGGAGCACGTTTGTGTCTGTGAGGATGAAAGCTATTATTTTGAATATAGATGTTTTTCCCTACCTGCCAGGGCAAACCCCCTCTTTAAGGGGAGAGATACACCACACTGAAAGACTGAGAGGAAGAACCTACCAAAAACAAGAGCTCTCAAGGAAACAAAAGGCCACAAGAACCCAGGAGCCTAAAGAGCGATCTGAAACTTCCTGATCGCCACTTATCCACATTTAAAGCTTGCAAAGTTCCCCCATGGCGGGTCTCGCCAGTGCACTGGGGCCACGGCTGCTTCTAAAGCGATTTATTGTTCCTTCTCCATCGGCGCCGCCACGGAAGCTCAAGAAGTCGAAGAAATCCGGGATTGCACAGAATTATACTCAGAGCCACACGCAAGACTCGGGGCTTCGCAAACCCATCAAAAAAGCAATCCGAATGGCAACACCAATCTCCGGGGACTCCCAACAGGGCCGAGCACAAATACGGGGGACACTTCTAGACTCTGGCCCCAGGCATTTTCCTCTCTTCAACCCCGCTCCCCACCCCACCCCCTCCTTTGATAACAATAGGGGCCTTGCTGCTGACTCCAAAACATGTACGAAGAACAGCCAGTGAGAAGCCTCAACCAGGGCCCCGGCGGCTTTTCCAAAGCCCTTCTCGGCCCCTCATCCGCTCTCAAACACCAATACAAAGTGATAATCTGCTCGCTAGGAGTCCGGAGCAGCGTTTAGGGGCAGCGGGGTGCGGATACTCACGGGCGGAGCGGTAGGATGAAGATGGATTTCAGCCCCCCGATCTTCTCTCTCCGGCGCTCTCGCTCCCCCTTACCTTTCACTCCGACAACATGGCGGCCCACTGGGGACTGGGCTGGCGCGGTGCATCATGGGATAGGCTCTGGCCCCGACTCCGGCGGTGGCAGCCGCGTGTGAGGAGAACGCAGGCAACTCTAGAACAGGTTGCCTGGTTGCCATGCCAACCCAGGGCCTGTGTGAACTTGGGAAACTCGCCGTCAATACCAGTGCCCGCCCGGTGGGTCCGAAGTGCCGCCGCGCACCTGAGCACGCCTGGGACCGCGCTGGGACGTCCACAGACAGCGGTGCGGCCTCCTCGCCCTGGAGAGCGGCCAACGAGGCTCTGGCCTCAGAGGCGCTGCACTAAGACCCTTACTGAAGCCTTCTAGCTGCGGCCTTGTTTTTAATCTTCCTGTCTTCACTACCCCATTTGTAAAATAAAGAAGAAAATGGTAGCACATCACCAGAACGCCTGCGATGTCAGGTGCAATCCCAGCACTCTGGGAGGAGGAGACAGGGGGATCACGAGCGCCAGCCCAGCCTGGGCAGTTTAGCGACTTAGATCTTGTCTCAAAATGAAACATTTTAAAAGCGCTGGAAATAAATGTACCTCAGTGGCGAAGGTCCTGAGTTCAATTCGTACTGCCATGAAAAAAACGAAACAGAATGCTGGCCAGGTTCAAGGACAACGTAATGTAAAATACCTAGTACACTACCTAGGACTTCTGAGCCCTTCGACAGCATAATTTGTAAAATTGAGGTGCAAAACGAAATTGCTAAGGACCCTTGTTCAAAAGTTATTACGGATTTCAAAATAGTGACAGGAGGACAAGAAGCTAACCCTGCTTGTAGGAACTTAATGTTAGTGACTGTCCTTCTGTTTAGTTTCCAGAATGAATGAAAATCTGGGAGTAAGAGCCGGGTGTGGAGACTCACACCTGTAATCCTGACACTCTGGGAGGCTCAAAAAGGAGGACGGCAAATTCCAGCGCAGCTTGGGAAATTTAACTAGACCCTGTCTCAAAATTTAAAAAATTAAAAAGGGTTGGGGAGTTAGACGTGATGGTGCGCACCTGTTATGCCAGCCTGAGGGAGGCTGAGGCAGGAGGATCGCTGTGAGTTTGAGACCAGCCTGGGCCACATAGTGAGTTCCAGGTCAGTCTCTACATAGTGAGACCCTGTCTCAAAAATCCAAAAAATAAATAAATAAAAGGGATGGGGATGCAGCTCAATGCAAAGGTTCAATTCCCAGCCCTGGGGGTGGGGGAGTTGAAATATAATATATTCATCTATGAAACACACTGGCCAAAATTAAAATGATTTTAACATGATGTTTCCAAGTATGTGAGAAAAATCAGTATTCATATTATTTAAATTGTTTGAGTATATATTTGTTGCATTTACAAAACAAGGTACATTTGCTTTATGAAAAAGATTTTTGCCAGGCATGGTAATTCACACATATAATCTGAGCACTTGGGAGGCTGAGGCAGGAGAACGGATGGGAATTCAAAGCTGGCCTAACCTACCTACTACATAGGCCCTCCTGCACTACATAATGACACCCTGTCTTTAAAAAATAAAAATAAAAAAAAAAGATAGGAAAATGGTACTGGCACAAAAACAGACCTGCGGATCAATGAAGCAGAATAAAGGATGCAAAAAACAACCCCAGCACATTCGGCTATGTAATCTTTGACAAAAGGGCCAAAAACACATGCTGAAGAAGAGATAGCCTCTTTAACAAATACTGCTGGGAAAACTGGCTGTCCACATACAAAAGATTGAATCTAGATCCATATTTATCACAGTGTACTAAACTAAAAATAAATCAAAGAGCTAAATATTAGCCAGGGATGGTGGCCCACGCCTATAATCCCAACACTCAGGAGGCTGAGGCAGGAGGATCACTGAGAGTTTGAGACCAGCCTAGGCTACATAGTGAGTTCAAGGCCAGTCTGAAGTACATAATAAGAGTCTGTCTTGAAAAAACAAAATCTAGGGGCCAGGGATTTAGCTTAATGGTTCTGCTGCCTGCCTCGCAACCCAAGCACAAGGTCTCAAGTTCCCCAGTACAAAATAAATAAGTAAATAAATAAATATTAACACAGAAAGCCAGGTGTGGTGGTGGTGGTGGTGGCCCATGCCTATAGTCCTACTGTAATCTTAGCACTCAGAAGGCTGAGGCAGGATTGCTGCAAGTAGGAGGCCTGCCTGGGCTTCATATTGAGGTCAAGGCCAGTCTGAACTACATGAGACTTTGGCTCAAAAAAAAAATTTTTTTTTTTGAAAATCAGCAACACTTAATCTCATGGAAGAGAAAACAAGTAAAATTCTTGAAGATATAGACATAGGCAAGGCCTTTCTTAGTAGAATCCCAATTACACAAGAAATAACATCAAGAATCAACAAATAGTGCACGCCTGTAATCCCAGCACTTGGGAGGCTGAGGCAGGAGGATCACTGTGAGTTCAAAACCAGCCTGGGCTACATAGAGAGTTGCAGGTCAGTCTCAACTATGTAGTGAGACCCTGTCTCAAAAAAAAAAAAAAAAAAAAAAAACACACACACAAACAAAAAAGTGTTCCATATCTCTGACCATTAGATAAATGCAAATTAAATTAGAATAACACTGAGATATGATCTTACTCTAGAAAGAATAGCTATCATCAAGAAATCAAACATTAAACAAGTGCTGGTGAGGCTGTAGGGAGAAAGGAACCCTTGTACATCACGGGTGGAAGTGTAAAGACCATAGTACAACCACTACGGAAGTCAGTACGGAGATTCCTCAAAAAACTAAAACTGGAAATTCCTTTCAACCCAGCTATTCCCTTTCTAGGCATCTTCCTGAAAGAGTTAAAGACATCGTGTTACAGTGTTACATGCATGACCATGTTTACAGCAGCACAACTTTAGAATTGCTAAGTCTTGGAAATGGCCCTATACCAACAGATGAATGGATAAATAAAATATGGTATTTGCACCGTGAACTGCTTTGTCATAAAGAAGGATAAAGTTGAGGCATTTATAGATAAATGGATGCATCTTAAGACCATAATGTTAAATGGAGTAAATCAAACACAGAAACTTGAATAGCACGTGATTTCTCTTATATGAGAAATCCAAAGTACAAATACATTGAAGAGCAAAATAAAAGAGAATCAGAAACAGGAAGCTAGATCTTGTGGTAAATGGGAAGAGGACCAAGACATGGGAGGGAGGGGAAAGAGAGGAGGAGACATAAAAATAATTTGGGGGGGGGTTGAGGCAGGGTCTCACTGTGTAGTTGAGACTGACCTGGAACTCACTACGTAGCCCAGCCTGGTCTCGAACTCACAGCGATCCTCCTGCCTCAGCCTCCTGAGTGCTGGGATAATAGGCATGAGCCACCACACCCAGCTCATAAAAATAATTAAAATGTGTTATGTCTCCTGTAGTAACTCCCACCATGAATTTGCATTACATAATGCAAACGTGTACTAATAGAAATGCAATTTGTTTTAAAAATTAGATTTGGGAGTTAAAGATCCTGAGCTCTGCTACTTCCTGGCTGTGTGACACTGGGTGAGTCTGAATTTCAGCACCTTCATCTGTAGAGTAAGGATGTCTAACACTCTTCTCACGGGTTAGCTATAATGGGTGTATGAAGGGTCATATATGGGATCCCATGAGTGAATTGGGATCCGCACTCGCTAAACATAGCCCTTTTGTTGTAGTAGTGGTCTTGTGTTCTTGTGTGAATTCCCAGGGGAGAACATAGGGCAGGGCATACAGCAATTGCTCATGCAATGTTTGTTAGCCAGGTGTGGGGGTACACACCTATAGTCCCGCCGAGGCAGGAAGACTGCCATGAGTTCGAGGCCAGTTTGAACTATCTAGTGAGATTCTGTCTCAAAAGACTAACTAAGAATACATGTTTGTTAAATGCATAAACTTAACAGCCATTTATAGCGTCAACACTCAATTTCCCAAGTAATATGTTTGTTCTATTCAGAGATCCAGCCCTGGAGCCAGACCAAGAATTGCTTGTTTCCCCCCTGCAATACAGAGGGTATAACAACAACACTAAGTGAGATGAAGCGGATAATGTATTTAGCCTATGGGGCCAGGGTACTGCACAATCTGGGCGGCCATAATAGAAGTGTGCAGGAGGAAGCTGCACAGCAGATGTGAGAAAGTTCATCTCCAGAACCTTCCCAGGCTCTGCGCTCCATGATTTCATCTTGAGTCCATGACTAATTCCTTAGTTTTAACTTTAGACTTCATTACTCAGCCGAAGAGACTGTGTTCAGCCCCCATGCTTGTGGTAGCAGCCTTCAGGCCCCTGTTCAGTCAAAAGAGGTAATGTCAGCCGAGTGTTAGTCACTCAACACTGGTCCTAAAGGATCTGCAGCCCCTAACCAGCCTCAGGACAACCTGATCAAGAACACAGCCTCAGCCGGGCATGGTGGCCCATGTCTATAATCCCAGCACTCGGGAGGCTGAGGCAGGAGAATCGCAGTGAGTTCGAGATCAGCCTGGACTACACAGTGAGTTCCAGGTCAGTCTCAACTACATTGTGAGACCCTGTCTCAAAAAACAAACAAAAAACAAATCAAGCATTTATTCATTTATATCAAGGAAGTACCTCAAATGCTAATTTTAAACAATTTAGACATATATTGAAAATACTGCCCCAGTAGTTTCCATATTATTCAAAATGCCCATTTCCCCACTAAAATTTAAGTTTGGTGACCCACCGCAACATGCTGCAGAAGACTTCACCCGTTATGACTTTGGATTTCTTGATTATCTTGCTGTGTCTTCCGTTACTCATCAACAGTTAAATTCCGCTTCCTAGAAACATTTGAACATTCAGAAGAATCGATTGCCTGATAACTTGGTCTCCTCCAGGTTTAGAACAGTCAAGAATGTTACTTGTGCAAGTCAGAATCTGATACCAATTAAATGGTGACAGCTTTGCCAATAAACAAGAATATGCTCTTCCATGGCTGGGAAGGGAGACTGCCACAGCCGACAGGTTTTTTATTCCTGTTTAAAGATGAGAAAACCAAGGGCCAGCGATTTAGCTCAGCCTTGTAATTGAAACGTTGTGAGCTGGGTGTGGTGGCGCACGCCTGTAATCCCAGCACTCAGGGAGGG